TTTCCATATCTGCAACAGGAGAGGGTTGCGGTGTGCCTGGTGAGTGGTCATCTTGCATTCTTTTAAGGCGCTTTCTAATGCGAGTTAGGTGCTCGCGGGCATTGAGAAGGCGCGTTTCATAGGAGGCCACTCTTTCACAGGCTGTCTTCTCCATGTTCTGTAACGTTGGGATGTCCGCTGCGGCGAGGTCGACGTCCTGCATGGAGTCACTGGCGGGCTCAGGGCTGCTAGCACCAGCAGTGTCAGTTGCTTGAGTCTCTGGCGATGCTTTGGGTGTATTTGCAGGCGACGATTCTTCTGTTGATGTGTCGTCGTGGGCTGCGAGCTGTTCCGGAGGTTGTTGTTGCTCATCATCTTTGCTGTGAGTTGCAGAGTGAGAGTCAGAGGATAACACGCTGGTACCCGGGGTATCCGTTTGCGCTTTGTTCGCAGGAAGGGCCGATGGTGGGCCTGGTCTTCTGTGAAATAATGATTGTGCACTGATTTTGTCAGGTGGCTTGCTTTGCTGCGGGGTTGGAGCTTCTGCCACCACGCCTGTACTGGGATTGGACGATGCGGCGGTTGCTGCATTGTCTGTGCTTTGTTGACTTGCGGCCAGCAAATTGGCTGGTTTGTGGGTCTGTCTGGTCGCCGCTGGTCGGCTATCTGCCAACGTTTGTTGGTTTGCTTGATGAATAATAGACTGCAATTCCATGTATTGCCGCTCTCGGTCAGCCACTTGCTGTGGCGTGCTCTGAGTACATTTAGGGTCCTGTGGAGCATCTGCTTGCATTTTTTGTACTGGCTGTTTTGCTGCGGATCGCTCCGTCCACCTGGTCGGTAGCGGCGGAGGCGGAGGCAGTGCCCGTTTCGCATGTTGTGAAGACTTAAGTTGGTCAATATACGTGGCTGAAGTTCATCTCGCAGTTCCTGCGGGTACGGCTCTCCGGTCTCAGCTAACCACTGTATGGTTTCGTCATGCGTCCACAGGGTGGTTCTCCACAATGGGATGGTATTGTCTTCATTGACCCAGAACAATGGCTTAGGCGGCAGCAACTCATGGGCTTCTACTATCAAAGGCAGCAGGAAGGCTAATCTTTTTTGCTCATGGAAAATCATTGCTCCGTTCGGGTGAACTTTCAGGTGAGTATGGTTCCACACAAACGGTTGCACAACACGCATGGTGTGAGCGTCGCGATTAAAGATGGATAGTCGGACTTGGGCATACGGTGGTGCAGCACCGTAGACTTTTCCATCCCAGGGTGGTTCAAGAAAGCCCCACCGCTCTTTTCGGCCGTAATTAACGGTCTCCCAGAAGGCAGGGTCAAACTCTTTCTCAAGGACGTCGGCAAGTCGAAAAGATAATCCATGGCACCTCGTCGATATGCAAGTGGTATTCTACCAACGTGAAATTATATGTTGTCTGGCAATCTCCTACCCATATTGTGCCCCTCACTGCAAGAAAGCGAACGCTGCTGGCTGCTGGCATGTCCCAATTCATTCCAGCCGATATGTCCAGTAGGTGTTGATCAGAAACACTGATTTGGCCAGACGGAAAAGGGTTTTGCCTCGGCATACCAGCAACAGGTACCCTGCAGTGGCAGCACTCGCCGGAGTGGAGGCAATTGCACGGCGTATAGTAAGACCAAACGATAGGAACCACTCGCAATTGCGTGGCAGCGGCCAAACAACGAAAAGCGGGCAGCGGCCAAACAACGAGAACCCCGTGTTGGCTTGAAAGTATGAACGGGCGAGCAAATTAGAAGTTGGGTAAAAATGAGGATCCAGGCAACACTGGCTTACAGGTGCGGTGTCCTCACAGTTCGAACCAATGGCTGCTGACGGAGACAGTGAATCATGTTCGGTCCAGGCAGAGTTAACAAAATACCAGACACTGCAACGGTAGGAAATATGTACAACATATGACCGGTGACAGGATTGGAGGGACGGTGTATTGTGGTTCAGTAGTAGATTCATGACACAGGAGGGAGTAGCAAGGGGCGGGGTAAGTGGTGGGGCCGTAGCACATGACAGGCGGGGGTGGCTATCTGTGTAAGATATGCTAGAAAAGATGGACACTGAGGAGCATTATCAGCAAGGAGTACACATTATTGAGAGTATAGATGGCTGTCGGGATACTGCTCATTGCACTGAGCTGTGAACTCAAGGACTTTGTTGCGATCGTCTATACGAAAGAAAATGTAGCTGCCAAAGCACTTGCGGATCAATTAAGTGATCTCGCGCCCCCCACAATCAGGAGCTTCGGCAGGCTAATTGGTCGCATGGAGGAAGGTAAAGGAGAAGCATATGCCTCTAAAATTGACGTCCGGTGCAGTGACCGTAATAAAATCATCGCGTGCAAGAATGTGCTCATTGCAACAGGTGGCTCAGCCACGGCTGAAATGGCGATGCGCTATTCCACTTTTGGCCATTGGATCTCTCGCACCTGGCTAGCTTTCATGGACGAAAGCCAACAGTATGGCAACTACCATGAGATCGCAGCTCTCGCTGCCCGAAAACCTTGGAGCTCTCCCACCGTCATGGCTACAGGCAAGATTGACGTTGTCTTTGACTGCCATCCAAGAAAAGTTTGCGCGCATCTTGCTGAGTGTGGCCTGTGAACTTTGGTTGCGCGGGCAAATTGCCAGGGTGGAGGATGTCCTCCTTCAGGTGGCAAGGGCTCTCACAATTCGTTTGGCAGAGAAGCTCGCCCAGGCGTTGAGCTCGTTGATGAGATTGGCTGAATCCATGGTGACTCCAGAAACTGAATGTTTGCTGTATGCCACGTACTGGTTTCGGCCCATCCTGTCTGAACTCATTGGCTCGGCCCGAGAGAGCTCTGAGGTGAATCGGAGTCGTGCGCCGAGTGGCCCAGTTAAAATCCTGGTCACAGATTGACCGCATCGACGCCTGAATGGGCTAGTGGACCTTACGAGGGGTGCCTCTGCCCTACTGGCATGGTTCCCGGCCAGCTGGGCCAGCAAAATTGCTCCCAAACTTCTCGAGAATGCTCCTGAGAATGCGCAGAAACCACAAGCAATTAACATCGCGTGCCCGAAACGTTCCTGTGACGAGACTCCGGTGGAGGGAGCAAAGCAGTTGCTCCAGGCAGTTCAATTTGCTGCCAAAAACATGCCTGGTTTTCGCCTTGGTTTGGATGAAGACTTTCAAATGGCTGGATGTTTCCAGGAGCTCATCCATGGATATACAACAGGGCTCGTTGAACCATACATGATGCGAGGTCTCCAACCACTGGGACCGAATCGCACTACTCTGGAAATTATCATTCCCTCTCAATCAGGGCTCACACCCGAGAAGTGGAAAGAAACAGCCACACTGTGCCCACTTGATTGGCCTTCCAACTACAGTCTTTTGCGATTGTGGCATACCAATGGGAGCCTCCATCAAACGGAAGCGCGACTCAGGAATCAACTGTCGCACAGCCATATGTTTGCTGAGTGGACAGTGCATCTCCACAGATTTGCAGAGCGCGTCTTATTCCAGCAACCTGCAGTTTATGTAGCGGGACATGCCTTGCAAACCAACCTGCGGGAACGAAACTTCCCAGACAGGAAAGTCCGCAGGAGGGTTCCTCCGACAGACCTGGACGAACATCAAAGGGCGATCCGAGCGCTTCTGCAGCGTGCTATTGATCAACAAAGAGTGAACCCAGTTTCGTTTGGGCTCACCAACGAATGGAACGACACCATTACATCAGATAAAAAGCATCATTTGGAACATTTCACGAGAGGTATGACATGATCCCACGCTCACCCCAGTTTGCATCACTTATACCCTTCTTGTGACCAACCCTTCTCTCCTCTTCTTTTCCCCACTTTTCTGTTTCACTCCGCGTTGTCCCTCACGCAATATGTGGCTCTTGCTTCATCAACAATGTCGGTGGGAGTTGGCTTACTTCTCTATTTGGTCTTTTCGTCAGTTCCACTTAAGGTTACTGTCCATACCGGTGTGTCTGTCCAAAGACGTGACAGGTGCACTGGTATGCAGCAGGGGACTCAGCTCTTCCTCATTTATAATTGTCAGGTTCATCGTGCTGAGCATGCCCGGCCCCTACCTATTCAGACCACTCAAACAGTTGGTAGCCACACTCATATGTAGTAGGTGTGAGTGCCAGCTCAGGTGTAACAGATCGGGCAGTATGGGTTACCTTTGCACTGGTATGGTGAATGTGCTGTCCAGTCGAGAGCTTAGGTTGCGACTCAGCGAGCTGATGGAACCTTATTTCCTCTACACTAAAAAGAAGCTGAGAGCGGCTTCTAGGCGCGCCCTTGCTCCTCTTTCTCTTGTGCGTCTAAGCGTCCTGCGTCTGGCATCAGGGTTTGTGGCTTTTGCATTCTGAGTGTTTTGCACGTTTATTCCTCAGTGGAATTTCTTTAGCAAAAAAGATCTGAAGGCAGTTCTTTTTTATTTTTAAATCTGTGCAAACCTCAAACCCTTCTGTAAACAGTGTAAACCACAAAAGGATTCTATGCCAACGGTGGCCATTGAATTTCAAGCAATGCCTCCAAAGGGAGGGAGGGAGGGTTTCCACTTTCGTGTGGTTTTTCCATCTTTTGTGCAGCCATGGGTGTGTGAATGGTGCCTTTAGTCTGGGATCCCGAAAGGTACGACTTCATAAGCGAACATCAGTTATTTTTGTGTTCTTGGACGATTTGGGATCACACTGAGTTTGCTGAGGTGAGGCTGTTTTCTTTCCTGGCAATTACAGATCTTCAATCGCTTTGCACAGTTTGCTATTGCATTTACGTGGATAGTCAGGACATTCTGGCAAGACGGAATGAATTTAGACGGCTTGACGGTTGATTTTTTTTTTAGACAACAGTTTTTTGGAGATTGCTGGAGCCTTACCTTCAGATGCCGTGGACACAGAGGCACAGAACAGGGATGGTCGTGTTGCATCACTTTCTGCATTGCATATATCACAACCTGGAACACCCATTGGTGATCTTTTTGGAAACAGTTCTGATGCTGAGCAGGTAGGTCTTGACTTCCAGGGAAATATGGAGGAGGCTGCACAGGCCTTCGCAAGTGTCCAACATCAACGTGTGGACGTGCCCTCTTCCAAGTCAGATTACAATGGAATTTTGTTTGAAGCACGTTTGAACGCTGTAGGTGATTCAGAGTTGAAGTTGCCATGGGAGCAAGGAGTTTGGAAAGCAAATTTCTTAGACGATGACGGTGATGTTTTCCCCAGAGTGTTGCCGTTTGTCCCAGGTGAATATTTGGTTCATCGTACATCTGCTGCAAGTTCCTTAGACGAGGTGGAGCAGGTTGCAGGGAAGACCATGGCAGAGAGCTCAATCAGCCAGGATCTGAAGTTGCCATTTTGCTCATTTGCGGTTAAAGTTCTTCCAGATAGAGATGCAATGGAAGACAATGAGAAACTTTGGAATCAAGCGTTGTACAAGTGGCAACAGACTTTTGAGAGCCTTGATTACCCGGGACAACTTGGCAGGGCACTTTTACAGGAACAGGTAGCAGCGGACCCTGGAACTGTCGGTGTGGTGCTTAGAGATGATCTTGGAATAAAATCACCTAGAATGGCTATCAAGCGTGCTCAAACTTTGCTGCAATATTTTCCTTGGAGGCAAGCCCAACCTTTGGAATGGGATCCATGGAATCGCAATCATTGTCTTCAGTACTTGAGAACAGAGGGGCAGTCAAGACTGTCAGCATCAAGAGGTTTGACTTTGTTGGAGGCATTTAGATTTGCGAGGTTTGTTCTCGGAGTTCCTGTCCCAGACCAGTTGATGAGTGATCCTCAGTTGCGTGATAGGGCCCTGCGCTTGATGGCGGAAAAAGAGACCTACAAGCCGGCAAGGCCCTTAAAGGTTTCAGAACTGGAGTTGCTGGAGAGGACCTTACAGGGGCAGTCGGACCCTATTGACGCATGCATGTTGGGGGCAGTCATTTTTGCAGTTTTGTCCAGAGCAAGATGGTTGGACTTGAAGCGCATTTATCAAATCTGGATTGAACAAGCAGAACATGATGGAAGGCTTTATGGGTCTGGTGAGGCCAGAACAAAGTATCATAAAACGGCTATGTCACTGGCAAAGAAACAGCCGTATATGCCGTTGGTAGCACCAGTTTTGGGTGTCACCGCAGTGGACTGGACGAAGCATTGGGCGCAAGCTTGTGAGAGTCTGGGTGTGAGCTTTGACAGAGATCCATTTGGAGCCCTTTGCAGAGCAGCTTCACATGGCGGTGTATCGTGCAAGAGGTCGTGCACCACTGAGGAGGTTGGCTTTTTCCTGCACCAGATTTTGAAGACCAACATGGAGAACGCGGTTACTTCGCATTCCTTGAAACACACAACACTGTCTTGGGGTGCAGCTTATGGACTTGATGAGCCATCGAGAACGACGATACATGTGAGCCGACATCACCGTTGGAGACAGCGCCATCTCCAAAGCATGAGGACGCAGCGGATGGTGAGGATTCCAACGAGATTCCTTCTACAGATTCAAGTTCTTATGACAGCTCGTCAGATGATGCTCATTTTGAGCTGCTGCAGAATGGTTGCTCGACGCTGAATGCGAGGTGCAGCCGGTGTTTCAAAGGAGAGGTGATCTCAGATTTGTCAGGTCTAGTGAATGCACTGGACCAAGGGAAGTCGAAGCACTTAAGGCGTCAGTGACTCCCTTCTCTCGCTGAAAAAGAAATAGCGTTGTTGCGAAGGCCGACAACTCATAACAATGGATTCAATGATGCATGACTGTTGCAAAGGCAAGCCAATTAGCAGGTGGGTTGTTGCATCATCATGTCATAAAACATGAGGGTCGCGATCTTCAGATTGCATTCCTTATTTTTCACCTCGAAAGCGATTTGAGCGAGTTTATTTACCAAAGGGTATTGGAAAGCCAGATGTTGAGAGCAACATCGTGTTGAGTTTCAAGCTGGTCTTGAGAGTGCTCAGGACTGTCGCTTGTGGTTCAAAAGGAACAAAACGGCGTTTGAGCCGTGTTGCTGAAAGCAGACGCATTTTGGAGCAAGAGAGGTTTTATTTCGAGTCCGATTTGAATGAACTGATCAGGGCGCAGTGACCCTATCTCATTTTGGAATTTTTCTTATGGTTGTTCAGTTTGGGGGTTTGTCGTAAATATGGCTGGATAGGTCTTGCAACACCATTTCTTCAAAAGAGTTGCAACGCAAAGTAGGTCCTGAAGAAGACCCTAAAAAGTCTGGGACGGTAGTCCTTTTGCCGTGGTCACCATGGCGGCTTCGTCGTTTCTGGACTCAGAGGCAACCTTTGCCCAACAGGCGGAGGAGACCGGTTTGGGAAGACTTTGGATAGATGCGTTGAAGGCCAGTTCATTGGCCACGTTTGCAAAGTTGAGTTTTGCTGTTACCAGTCCCGGGACGGTTGCATCGGATGATCAGATCAACACCTTCTTGGGAACAATGCGTGTGGGTGTTGCACCGTCCATAGCAGACATGGCGGCATTCAAACGCTTGCTCTTTGAGAGTCAAACACTTATGATGCATAGCTTCAAGGCAACGGCCCGGGGAGATGATGCTGCACCGAAGAAGTTGTCAGCCCCGGAGAGAGAAGCACGCCTGGAGCTTCAGAGACAGCAATTCAGAGGTTTGGATATCACTGGGCCACTTGAACCGGCCCATGCCTTGTACGATTTGTGTGCAAGTATGGTCGAGAAAAATGAGATTGCCTACATAGGCCCAAATAAATGCCTATCTAGGCAACAGGAGCTGATGGGAAGCAAGCCAGAGAAAGAGATACAGTTGGATGCCAGTAAGACATCCCTCATAGTGAAGGAGCAGCAAAGCAGTGCAGAGGTCCACATCACTTCGGATTTGGTCCTATACCAAGCTCTTATTCAACGTAGGACACTGGCCATGGACCTCACGGGACTTGCATCCTATGAGGTCATGAGGAAATGGGTGGATCGCCTTTTTGCTCTGTACTCTCAATCGCCGGCACCAGGATTCCAAAAGATTTCACAAGCCCAACTTTTGAGGGCAGACAGACAGGCCTTCATCAGGATGAGTGAGCTGTTTACAGGCTCCTTGAAGGGGCCGGTTACAGCGGGCAAACCTTTGGACCCCTACATTGACAGATTGGAGTCAGACATGACGGTCACGTACTTCATGCTCCCGGTCCCCATTGGTCACGGAGGCAGCTCTGGTGATAAAGCTGACAAAGACAGGAAAAGGCCAGAGACTCCGGGTAACAAGAACACACAACCACCGAAAAAGGTGCCCAAGGGAGCTTCAAAGGGCAACAGCAAGGGCAAGAAAAGAGATCCAATCCCACAAGCATTGAAGGGTATGCACTCACGCACACCACAAGGCAATCCTATCTGTTTTGGTTACAACCTAGGGACTTGCAAGCAGGGATCCAAGTGTCCAAGACAGCATGTTTGCGCGGTGCCGGGATGTTACAAAGATCATCCCCAAACTGAACATCAGTGACCCGGGCAAGCAAAAGCTGAAGTTTCATCACGTGGTTCAAAGCGAAAGTTCCAAGCTGTGGAAAGTGAACGGGTCGGTAAAGATGATTCTGTGAGACCGCAATTTGGGACAAATGGTTTTTTCTGCGTGGAGCTTTTCTGTGGGACAGGGAACTTGACCTACGCGATGAAGCATTACTTTCCAGATAGTTTTGGGGTGGATCACAAAGTGAATAAACAGAGAGTGAAGGTTGTATGTTTGGATTTGACTCGAGAAGACCATCAATCTTTGGTGGAACAATGGCTTCTTTCAGGGAGGTGCCTTTGGGTGCACTTTGGAATTCCGTGCGGGACAGCATCCAGAGCAAGGTTCAGAAGGTTGAGCCGGAAAATACATGGCCCGCCGCCACTCAGGAATTCCAGATACCCCGATGGTATCCCAGGGGTTAAAGGACTTCACCTTATCAAACTGCGTGCGGCCAACAAACTTTACAGCTTTATGAGAAAGCTGATACTTCAGTTGGACAAGGCAGGCATAACTTGGACAGTCGAGAATCCGTTTACAAGTCTTTTGTGGGAGACTTCATACTGGCGAGATGTAGAGGAGGCTACAAGCCCGTTTTACTGCGAGCTGCACAACTGCATGTTTGGGTGTCAACGCCTGAAACGCACATGTTTAGCATCCAATAATGGCGCTGTTATGTCATTAAATGTTTTGTGCGATGGCAGGCATGAACATGCCCCATGGTCAATGACGGACGGAGTCTTCGACACCTCTTTGGAAGCTGAGTACACGCCAATGCTGGCGAAAGCATTGGCGACTACAATTCTGGAAGCAATAGCAAATGAGTACAAACTTCCCAACGTTGTGCAATACTCGAAAAAGCTGAAGCTCTCTCATTTTCATGCCATTGCAGCGGCTAAGCAGCCTACTAAGTCGATGAGTATGCATATGGTGCCAGAATATTCCCATGTGATTGTCCTAGCCAATGTGCCATATTGGATGTCTTTTCACTGTACAAACTCAGCGCTCGCAGCTTGTGTTTATTTGACGTGCGGCGGTCAGGATATTTTTATTCCTTGCGCCAGCAAGCTCTTGAGAAAGACCATCAAGAAGGGGGGTGATAGCCGTCTTTTCAAGTTTTCTGTGGAACGCACACCCTCTCTTAAAGTTTTGGCTGACGCACAGCCATCAGGTGACAAAGTGGCGGAATCTGAACTTCAACTGAAGTGCCATAAAGAGTCTCAGGTTTGCAAGGGAGAGCGACTAGTCTTGGAACAAACACATAGTGACGAGGAATGTGCTGATTGGGTTTTTGGAGTAAGGTGGACCCCTGAGGAGTTTTTGCGTCAGGCGGTTCTTGTTGGTCACCCTTTTTCGAACTTCTCAGGCCTTCCACCAGAAGTGGGGGCAGCTTGTGGATGTTGCAACCATGACTCATGCGGATGTTGTAAACAATAGATGTTGCAAGCTCGGTGAATGGACTAGGTTGGCCAGGAGTTTGCAGGACGCCGAGAACAAAGTGAAGGCAGCCATGCCCGAAGAACGTAAAAGGATACTAGCTACCAAACGCCTACTCCTCATGAAGCACGTTATTGAGGTGGAAGGTTATGATGACAAGACCCTTGCGGAAGACGTGATGCATGGTTTTTCACTTGTTGGAGAGGTTCCCAAGTCAAATGTGTTGCCCAGAAAACTGTTACCAGCTGCGATGACTGAGCAGGACCTTTGTGCCAACTCGCAAAGGGCAAATTTAGCTTTGAGATACATGACTCGGAGCAGTGGCGATGAAGAGCTGGATGACAAACTTTGGGCTAAAACGGTTTCTGAAGTCGACAAGGGTTGGATGCTGGGGCCGCTACAGTGGTCGGAATTGGGTGATGGAGACACGGTTTCACGCCGTTTTCCCCTTGAGCAGTCGGGTAAAGTGAGGCCCATCGATGACTTATCTCAGAGTCAGATAAACGCCACAGTGACATGCTATGAACAGGCTACAGTTGATGGGCCTGATGTGATTTGCGCCTTTGCGACATACCTGATGCGGTGCTTAGCGGATCAAGGAAGATCTACAGAATTGCTGGGCCGTTCTTTGGATCTAGCCTCGGCATACAGACAACTTGCAATTGCGGATGGTTCGAGGAGACACGCTTTCCTATCTGTTTACAACCCATCTTCCAAATCCGCTGAACTATTCCAACAAGTTGCTCTTCCTTTTGGTTCTCGGACGGCAGTAAATGCATTCATCTGGTGTGCAAGATTTTTGCAATGGACAGCAGCAAAGTGCTTGAAACTTCCCTTGTCTTGCTACTTTGATGACTTTGTGTCTTTCTCTTCCCCTGCGCTGGCGGGCAATTCACAAGCGGCACTTTGCTTGATGCTGGATGTGCTTGGCTGGGGCTTTGACAAGGAGGGACCTAAGAGTGATGAATTTTCTTTGTTGGTTTGTGCGTTGGGGGTGCAGTTTGACCTCAGCAGTTGCAAAGACGGGCTGCTTCGAGTTTGTAATACAGAAAAGCGCGTCCAAGACACGATAGTGTTGCTGGATGAGATCCTTGCAAAGGGCGACCTTAAGAAAAGAGATGCTTTGGTCCTGAGAGGAAGACTAGCCTTTTGTGATGCGTTCATATTTGGCAGGTTGGGTAAAGTGGCATTGCAAGAAATCACACGTCATGCCTACGCTTCCTCTTTTTCGGACAGCCTGTCCAATGTTTTGAAGGATGCTTTGAAATTGTTAAGAGACAGAGTTTTGAGGGGCAAGCCACGCCTCCTCTCTTGCAAAATGCTGGAAACCTTGTTCCTGCTTACGGATGCGAGCTTTGACCCTAGTGATGGTGCCGGCTTAGGAGCAGTGCTTGTCTCTAGCCAGGGCCAGGTGCTTGCTTGGTTTGGATTGAAAGTGGAGATTGAGAAGTTAAGCACTCTGTTGGATGGTGGAAGGGAGACTGTGATAGGTGAGCTTGAGACTTTGGCGGTGGCTATGTCCTTGCTACTGTGGGCTGACCACCTTGACTCCACGCAACTTATGGTTTACATAGACAACGAAGGGTCGAAGTTCTCGTTAATCAAAGGATACTCCGTATCCCGCGCCATCACTGCGATCTGTGCCCTCGCAGCCACCACCCTGGATGAGCACTACGTTTTGCCTTGGTTTGGAAGAATCCCCTCACCTTCGAATCTTGCAGACTTTCCTTCACGACAGATTAAACACCCCTTGCTGAAACACAATGT